TAAAAGAAATAAATTATAAATTTGAATACAAAAAGCGAAATAATGAAGTTAGGGTTTACATTCCTACACGATAGTTCAGAATACTTAATAGGGCTACGGGAATGACCCTTCTAAAGAACAAATGAAAAATTTAAAGAAATAAATTTAAAGTAAACAACTAGGCATCTTATTCACAATCTTCTTTATGGATCAGGATCTGAATCTTGGTTCTTTTGATCTGAAATGGTTAATGAAAGAGTGAGCTACACTCGCCCAGTAAGAATGTCACACTACTCACCGATACAGAAATAAATATTGGTAAAAATCATAAAAATAACTAATAGAGCTCTTAATTTAAGTAAATTCATTTATCATAAATAAAATCATTTATTACATACTTACTGTAGTGAGATTTCTAAAACCGACCTATACAGGTAATAACACAAACAACATCATAATCTCATTTTTAATTAGCCAGAACAACAACTTTCCTTTTTTATCTGTCTACTGATATCTATGGGAGTCCATATGGATGTCTCCACTACGTCTGAACTCTTATTTAATATTGTTAACTAACCAACCGTCCCTATACCCCGTCCGGTATGAACGCCAAAAATATATCCCTCAATATCCCGTCCAGTATGAAGGTAAAACAGGTTGTCCCTATACTCTATCCGATATGAGTGACAAAAATACTATCTCTGAATACCCCGTCTGGTATGAAGGTGAAACAGGTCGTCCCCATTCCCCATCCGATATGAGCGCCAAAATACCAACTTTTGATACCCCGTCCGGTATGAGGCAACATTCACGGTAGGGTTCTCTATGTACCCGGTCCGTCCATCATCTCCCAGGATATCCAGTAAAACTACCATCCATTCATTCACTTAATCAAGTAATTTTTCATTTACATTTAATTTTTAGTTTCATAATTTAATTATAAATCACGCAAAACAAACAATATATACATTAAGGAAACACAACTGAATCATCTTACCAATTCTAGTGTATTATTATTCATTTAAAACTGTAAAATCAATCAATTAGTTAAAATAGGATAAATAGTAATAAATTTCAGCTCCATTAGTAACCTGTAATTAATTATCGAAGTTTTTTAAATTACGTAAAATATCGTACTATCTATAATTAAACTTCAATTCCATAACAGAGAATAAGGTAATAGATTCTTACCTGAATCAGTGTCCGAAATACTAAACTTTAAGTTGCACCCGCTGACAGTCCCCAAGTTTCTTGAATTTTTCTTCAGAAATTAAAACACGTTTCAAGTACTTAGAAATATATCAAAAAACTCAAAATCGGTGTTAAAAATCTTTTCTGACCAATTTTGGAATTCTAGCATGGCAGCACCGCCGCTCGCGACGGCAGTTTGCCTCGGACTGGCCGTTTTCGGTCAATTTTGACCGATTTCGACCCGTTTTATACTCATTCCTGTAAAAAAATACGTTAAGGGGTTTCAGTTGGCTTAAAAAAATCGAAAAATAAAAACTCACCAACGACAAATTTTTCGGTACGCCGGCTTCGCCGGCTCACCTTCGTGGTTGGGCATTTTTCTTCGGTTAACCTGTAAAAAACAGAATGGTAAATACAATGATAGAAAAATCGCATGAAATGAGAATCGAAAATGGGCTCATCATGGGCGATTTTTTATTTTTCTCGCAGTGGCAACGGCAGCGCTGGGTTTTACCCGTGATTTTTTACTCATTTCCCGGTTTGTTTGCTCCAATTTGGCCATGGGGGGGTATTTAAAGTTAAATTTCGAGCGAATGAAATTTTTTTTACCTTTTTTGGCGGTCAGAGGTGGTTCCAGCGCGGCGACGGGTAGCGATCAGCTCCCTTCTCTGGCGACTGGCTCTCATCTTCGGCGGAGGGC